CTACTGTGAGAAAAAAAAGAAAGCGGATTACGAGCGATGCGATCTGTCATTGTAATAATTAATTAAACTGTGTTTTTTTCTGGAAGAAGGATGACACTGTTTTCTCTTTTATCTTTCGAAGCAACGCTCGTGTTTCTAAAGATTCTTCATGGATATTTAATTGATCTCATGGTGAAGAGGTAATAAATTCAATATGAAATGAAATTGTCATTTGCAGACATAATAACGCAGTTACTAAACATCTATTCAAGTGCGCCATTTACTTTACAGAGAATTGGAGATAAGAGATGAACTATTTCTCACCAAAAATCTTCTAGTTTACTACAATATAAATAAAAACATAAATTGTGATTTTATAGAAAATCAAAGATCTTTTATAGTAGTTTCAACGTTGTTTCAACTAGACATTCGTCTTACTGAATCATTATACCGGATGTTTCAAAATATTGGCAACATCATTTATTTTGCCACTGTCTCTACCTAGACTAATGAGACAATCTGAATTCTTTCGCCAAAAGATATGTCTTGAAAAGTTACATGAACAAATTTCTATCGACCTGCTAACGAGGAAACGTTTTCAACTGTCCAATCGCTTTTGAGTTCGGACTTTGTGTAAAAGATAGACCCCAGTGACGTATGAAGAAATCCAAAAGATTAAATCCCCTTAAGCTTTGTGCCCAGAATTATGGGCATTTTACTGGAATAACAGAACATTTTAGCATCTTTCGTGGGATATAGGTGATTTTTGGGGCTTTAATATCTAGGGAAGGAAACATTCTTTTGAGCTGAAATTTTCAGAATATTCTATTTACTAATAGGCGTATCTGTGAGCAAAATTTCAGCTCAAAATATCTCCATTCGATTTCTTGGAGTATACTATGTCTGAGTCGTCAGCCTATTCTTATAAACCATGTTCTATAGACTATACATGACCTGAAAATTCTACAAAGAAGCCCTATGGAAGCATCGTGGCCAGCCCGTTGAACTCTATTGACTGAACTATCTCTTATTCGAATCCGGAATTAGCACTTAGGGAGATCCCCATCGTTAGTCTGTATTGGCCCCAAAAATCCAAAGGATAAATGCAAACATCGAAGCCATGAGTACTGATGCTGTGAATGATCGTTAAGCTGTCACAAAAGCTTCTATTTTTCTAGGGTACACACTAAGACAGCGACTTTTTATTTTCTTTTCTACACCATTGCTTGTTTTCTCGCTGTTTTTCATTTATTTTGTCATTTTTTTTATCAGCCACTATGAAATACATTTATGCATTGCGGTAGCTTATTCCATCGTCACCTTCACTCTAATCTTTTACCCTCAAATGAAGTGTGTATTTGATTACTTTAAGAATCAATCGTTTTTGTTAATTTAAAATAAATAAGAAAAGGCATTTAAAGAAATGACGACAGAAAAACTAAATTAAATAGACTCTTTTTTTTTGTAATTTGCTTTTAAATAAAATTGCTATTGATGAAATAAAGTAAATTTGACAAACTGGTCAAATATATATAAAATAAAATTGACAAAAATATTTATTTTTAAATGAATAACTTCGTCATTTTGAATAAAATCATAATTTTAAAGTCTTTTTTTTTTGTATCTAATAATAAATTTCTTGATTGCTTTTATGATTAAAAATGTATTCTAAAACGAATATTTTCTATATAATATTGATTGGATTTATAATATTATTTAATATTGATAGTTTACCATTACACCACGAGTTATACCATTATCATCATCATCATCACCATGAAGGACGTAAGTTTTTTTATTTTATTTCAACACTGATTTTATCTAAAATACTACTGATGGATTTTCACAAGCGAAGGATTGCTTATTTTGCTCTTCAGAAAATTTGTTCCAATATTTTCTGTTGAAAAACAAATAAAAAAACGAGCTAATAGTATCTTGAATGAGTCTTAAATAGAATTGTTTTTTTTGTCTACAATCATTTCTTCCACAGACAAAATATCTGACCTTCGCTTTTCAAAATGGTAGATCCAACACTATAAAATAATTCAATTCTCTGAAATAAAAAAACTTGATTTATTAAAGATCATGGAGCATATTCATATTCACCCTACAGAAGAGCTCAATGTTTTTCTGGTGATTCATTAATTAAATTATCAAATGGTGCATATAAAGAAATTGGTAATCTTCAATCCGGTGATGAAATAATAACTATTGATCAGTCAAAAATAATTTCAACAGAAATGATAATGATGTTAGATAAACAAATTTCAAAACAAGGTATTTTATTTATAATTATTAAGAATTATATATATATAATAATTTTATTTTAGCATTATTTTATACGTTAAGAACAGATTCTGGTTATGAAATAAGTTTAACAGAATATCATTTAATTCCAATAATAAATTCAAATGGAAATGAAAATTATTTATTTGCAAAACAAATTAAAATAGGAGATTGTTTATTTGTTCTATTTAATGGAAAATTAATGTATTCTCCAGTGATAAATATAACAATTGAAATGAAAAAAGGCTATTATGCTCCATTAACAATGAAAGGTACTTTATTAATAAACAATGTTTTAGCCAGTTGTTTTGCAAATATTAACAATCATCATTTAGCACAATATTATATGACACCTTTTCGTTATTATTATAAATTTGCTCGATTTATCTCTTTATATGATCCATTTAATATTAATAAAACTGAAGGTTTATATTGGACAGTTAATATTATGCTTCACTTCGCACGTTATTTTAGATTAGATGCATTATGTTTATGATACAATCAAATAGATTGTTCAATTTATTTTGAAACGATTTCCGTAAACTTTTTCTTCATTATTGACTTATACAGATCTCATGTTTCTCATATCAGTCTATCTTACTACGATCATAGATGTTACTCTAATAATCAGGTTTTTTTTTAAATAAATGAGTGTATCATAATAAAGTGCCTGATGATATTGAAAAGATCGTTACAAAGCTTTTTACAAAAAGTACAGGTACTGCTATAACTAGAAATCAATTTTTCCAATGAATTCTCCATACTATCGTCGTTTGATCTCAAACTTATACCACAGATACATCGACGGTCAATCTATCTGTTCTGAAAGTTTCAACTATAAAAAGGGCGAGAATTTGTAGAAAAACATGCAAATATTTCTCATATGGTTGAAGCGAAACTTGTTGCAAGGCTTGTTCTGTTGTCATTTCTGCTTCGGTTTGAACTCTAGGATAGTGGTTAAGTGTCTTTTAGAATTACTTACAAGTGAGAACATCTTAGGCATCTGTAGTCATCATCGAAAGATTCAAATCGAAGCAGGGTGTAGGTGTGGGTATGGGTGAAGAGAAAAACAACATCCACAACCATATCCCACACTCAGAATGATGAAGTATGATAATCTTAATGGGCTCACCTAAGTGAAATTTATAGGTATTCTAATTTGGAAATTTCCTAACAGCTTCTTCTCTACTCAAATAAATTAGAATATCTTCATATTTTTGGTTTAAACAAGTGTTTTCTATTTAATACAACGAAATTTAACAAAACAGATTTGATCTCTTACACATTCATGACAACAATCTTTTAACGCTTTTTTTTGACAGAAAAATTAGTCGTAGTGTTTAAAAAAAATTAAAGAAAAATTTTCAACGTTAGATGGACCTCATGACGAAATAATAGTTTATCTAAGATTAAAATGTCATGTTTAGTTTACCTGATCTACATACAAACTTTGTCATTGTAAAGACATGTGTTAGAATCTTCTGACTATTAACGACTTGGAAAAGGAATTATACAAAACACAAAAATTTTTGAAATTAAAAAAAAAAGCTGAAGGATCGAAACACTGACTACTCAAACCCCTATGAATTTTACTCATCAGATAACTCAGAACGATGCGTCGAAAATCCTCATTGTTTGCAAGCTTCAGCTACCGAAATGCTTCTAAAAGCAACCGATCGCCGGTTCCTCAACCTATTGAAAATTGATAATCTGAAGGCCCAATTTACAATCCAGACATTCATCGATTTGCCTTAGAGGTGACTGGTGCGATTTGTTTTTGAACAAAAAACTGCACATATTATGATCTGGTCGATTTAGAACTACAACAAAAATAACATTGGTTAACATTCAAATTCAGAAAATAAAAAATTTCTTGGTGAAAAAGAATTCCTTTTTTTTTGCATTATAGAACAAACATATTGAAAAAATTTTATTTTCTTTGTAAATCATCAGTGATCAATAAAAAAAACAGGACTTCTTTTATAATTTGCTTTAATTAATTCAATTCATTTTAAAAAAATATATTACATTCATCCTTCTGATTGAACGTTTAAACTCTTTTCAATATCTACAATTACATTTCAAGTTTGAAACCTTTCTTAATTCGTGCAGTTTGTCGAAGTTTGTCTTTTCCTTTCTCAGACAAATCGCATTCTTCGATGTAAAGATATATAAGTGTTTGATTGTGTTTGAGCATTTTAACAAGACTATCAATACCCAATTCACTTATCAATTTGTTATTGGTTAGATTAAGTGATATGAGTGTGTTATTGTGATAAGAGAGCGCTTCGGACAATTGTTCAACTCCCCGATCACTTATTTCATTATCACCGAGCAACAGACGACATAATCTTGTATTTGTCTTGAGCATTTCGGCCACATACGTTGCACCTTCATCTGTAATACTAGTGTCTTGAAGATCCAAAAGCGATAGTGTAGAACTGTTGAGTGAGAGTATCGTTATTAGATTACGAACACCTTTATCACATAAACGATTGTCAGTAAGATACAGATCTTCTAAAGTAGCATTATTGTTTAATGCATTGGCAATGATTGAGGCTCCTACTGATGTTATTTTGTTATATTGTAAATAGAGTTCCTTGCACTGTTTATTGATAATAGCCTCTTTCACAACGATCTTCATATCTTCATCATTCAAGTTTAATGCCATTAAATTCACTTCTGATTGTGATTGACATTGTTCGATAAGATTTTGAAGTTTTTTATTTTGATAATTATTTGTGAAATAATGATGATGAAATCTGAATACGTAAAAAAGATGGTTGAATATTTTCGATTGGATTAATAATAGTTGAAGATGTTGATGGAATATGAATAAGAGGAAAAGGTGGTTGAATTTCTTTGATATGAATAATTTTCAACTGATTTCCTGAATTAAATGATGAAACAACTTGAAATTGTCTTGCTGGATACATCAAGATTTCATTTTCATTTTGATACATTGAATGTCGAGAAATATCTTTAGCTGAATCACATTCGATATTAAATATAGTTCGAGATCCGTTCTGACCAAGAAATCGTTCTAAAACTTCCATGGATGATGTAGAAGATGAAAATGCCCACCAAACAAATATTTTGTCTTTTTGATATTCATCACTAAGATTCATTTTAATTCCACGATAAATGATTCGATGTTTCGTTGATGGAAGTTTTGAAAGAGCAAAAATTAAAAGACGAAGATAGAGAAACCAAGGTAATAGTTCTTTTCGATCTTGTGATCGAAGAGTCTTATTTAGGATAAAGTAAAAAGAAGATTCTTGAGATGTCGATTCTAATGTATATAACATGATAGATGCTGATTCATCAGATGAAAGATGATCATGTGGATGTTGACAATTTTGTTTGACTGTTCAAACCATTTGTTCAACATCCGAAACAAATGGAACAAGAGGTTTGACAGCTAGTTCAAGTGAAACAATTGGTTGTTTTTCATAATCTTTGATTGGATATGAAACAAAAAATCAGTATATATATTTTGTAAAATGTGAAAAGCACTTTTTATTGTTTTTCTTTTGATAGATGTGAAAATGTTGAATGTATTTCTCATTTTCTCAATATGAAGAAAATGAAAGGAGAAAATCTTTTGCTTTATTCAATGTTTTTGATCAGATGTAAATAAATGTAAATTTATCTTTTTAAATAATATTTGTAAGTCGAATGAAACAAAGAAGACTTGTTAATAATAGTTTGATGGAATAAGAATATCTTGTATTCTGTTTGATGAATTTCTAAAATAAGATCAGATATTTGTTACATATTGGCAAGAGACAATTTGAATTGTTTTCGAAAAACTCAAAGAATAAAATTTGTTAAAAGAAAATTTCCCAACTACAATCTAATGCTTGTTTTTTTTTTTATTGAGGTTGTATAATGGATTCTTCTTTTGACTTTTTCTGTTTAGTGAATGTTGTGAAAGGATTTGACGTTTTTGGAAGAGAAAAAGAAAGGAAGAAAAACATTTGGTTTGTATTGTTTGAAAAGAGAAAATGAAGATTTGGGTTAATATATTCGATGAATGAAAATGAAGTTCTTCGATCAACTGACAAAGCAATTGGAATATGACGATTTTATTCGATTGAAAAAATGTTCTTTTTCTTCCATTACTTCACTAGGATGATGAAGTTTCTTTAACGAAACAAAAAAAAAAAAGAAAATAATTGTTTTTTTTTCATGTTGAAAGAAATCAAAATGTTTCGTTGATAGAAAATGAAACAAGATAACTCGTTTTACTAAATAAAAATAAATGAAAATGATAATAAAATTCGAAAAGATTTGTAATTGTTTTATGAATAGATTAAAACTTTATTTGATTGAATATTTAAAAAGATGAAGAAATTTCTTCAAATTAAAAGGAATCTTTTTGTTGAAATTAAAATGAATATTTAATTATAATGGAATAGAAATAATATTTGCTAATCAATTGAAATTCTTTTTTTTTGATAATATGGTTAAATGAACAGAAAAAGATTTTTAATAATTTAATTTGAGATTTTAAATGTTCATATATTTAGAAGATTTCTTCAATAATTGAAATTTTTGCAAATTCATATGAGTTTGTAACAAAGCGAATCACAATTCAGTCGACTTCTAACAAAAGTTTGTTTGAATTTTACAAAGAAAAAAAAATATATTTCAAAAGTTGAAACTAAAATAGATTTTCTTAAGGTTTTAAAGTTAAATAATAAATAAATAAATGATAACATTCTATTATATTCAAAATAAAGAGAAAAAAAAAGGTCTTCTCTTTATAAATATTTCTTCATTAATTTCTAAATGATATAAAATATGTTGAACAAATGAATATTTTCAGTTTTAGATATTTGTTGTTCATTTCCACATAGAAGAAATGAATTTGATGAAATTTTGATGAGAAAACATTTACTTTGATAAAAAGATTTTGAAATTTTTTATGTTATTGAATTGTTTATTGAAATTGGATTAAAATTAAATAACTAAGCAAATAAGTTTTTCTCAATCTTTATTTTAATCTGATGAACGAGGAGTTTTATGTTCTGAGACATCAACTTTATCTAACCAAAAAAATAAATCAAAAGAATCGACTTGATTTAACAACGAATAAAGTTTTTTTCCCGTTGTCGATTGTTTATGTTGAAAGAATTCGAATAAAAATTTTTTTTTTAATTTTTACAAAGCAAAGAACTTAGTCGAAATGACATGAAAAATGTCTTTTTTACCCTTATCTTCAAAGGAAATCGTTGTGAAAAACGAATATTGATTATTAGAACAGAATCAAAATTTCAGCAAAAGTTTTTTTTTTTTTTTTACTTTTAAACCTTTCGTTGAAATTCGTTTTTAATAATCATTTAATTGATTATAACTCTTTGTACATGTCAAGACAAATATAATTTCGATGCATTATGATCATAATAAATCCAACTGATTTTAATAGATTCGTTTTTATTTGATCTTGATTTATCATCTTAGATGTTTTATAAGAGATAAGAGCAATAAAATTTTAATATTGTTTTGTTTTGTGTGAAAGAAAAAATAAAACAGAATGGAAAAAAATCATTTCTTCTCCAACGAATAATTTCATATAGTTTGATCTATTTAATGTTAACATGAACGAAAAACAATATTGATCAATATTCCGATTTATGTACTAAAATATTTTTTCAACACGAGTCTCTTTTCTTCGTCTTAAGTTGATGAAAATATTGAAAAGTTTTTTTTACTTTCTCTATCATTCATCAATGGTAAAGAAAAAAAAAGGTTTACAGGGTGGATATGGGATGTAGATATCTGCTCATTACCCATATCCACACCCCACACCCTCAAGGAATTGACCATGTTTCTTGCATACTAATGCATTCATAGAATTACTCTGAAGATATTGACATAGCAGCAAAAAATATCTTTTAATCTAAATAATCTAAGTTGCCTCAATCATCAACATTTGTCTTCTTGATCTCAATAACTTTCCACTTATTAATATAATTGGAAAATGATAAAATTACTTTTTCCTGTATCTTTTCTGCCTCATACTGCTATCCATTAAATATTTGTTTAAATGTGACGATTGCTTCATCAATACAATCAAATTGAACTTCATTAATTGATGTAGTGACGACTCGAATTTAAAAAAATTAGATATTGGTGTCTAATTTTTAGAGATTACTACTTATTTTGATTTGCTTCAAGAGTTATTTTTCAACATGGCAAATATCATGATCGCACATCGATGTAATTTACTAAAAGAATCCGAAATTTCGTTTTCTTTTCGATGAATGTCGATTGAATGTGAATCGATAATATAGTGTGACGAAATAAAAGAAACTCAATCTATCGAATATATATGTCGCGACACACTTTTAAAGTTGTTATTTTTTTTTAATGATTACCTAAGAAAGTCAAATAATGAACGAATCGAATTTTGAGGGGGAATCGTAGGATGACGTATAATGGATTTGAATATAAGGAATCGATATTAAAAGTTCGAAATACGAAAAATGATCAATATTTTAGTATCATCATTGTCTAATGCAAAGTGAAAAATTTCTATATGAGACTCTGAGATTCTGCATATTTTTATCTCACTTTGTCAATCAAATCAAAATTTTTCAAAAAACTTTTTACATTTGTAAAAAAAAAAGCAACGAGATAACTAGTGTATACAAATATCATAGAGAAATGTTGAATACGTTCGAGCATCGAATAAAATGTTTCTTTCATCGACGAATTGTGTTCTCTTTTTTATTCTGTGATAGAATACTTAGACGATACTCAATCATAATGGAAATTGCATGTCATCAAAACTCTAAACAACAGCATTCATACTTACATCTTGACAATAATATAGAAATACTTCATTGAATATCATATACTTCCCTCTCCCACTTTTCCATTCGAAAGCTTCAACCAATAAAAACAACATGAGAAGATTTCAATCATCTTGAAATGAATAATTCACTCATGATATACTTGTGCGTAAGAGCGAAAATATGATAGCAGGAGTAGATGTAAGTGAAATGCATTCACAAAACAACTAACACTTTGATAACTTTGTATGTAATGTAATCGATATACTACCTTTTTTGTTCCAAGGATACTCTCACCTTTTTGATGAATTCATGGTCATTTTAAACAATCGTTTATTTATTGAACATAAATTGTACACAATAATTCTCATTATAGAATATTCAACTATAAACATCAAACAAAGATTATTATTGTTTCTGTGCTTGAAATACATGATTCATATTAATTCTGTCCGTTTTCATGTATCTACTCTATATAACGTAAACAAAAAATGCTGCATGATTGATGACAGTTTACATTTCTTCAATATATATACACATGTATAGAGAAAGAGAAAAAAAAACGAAAAGTGAGTGATGGCATAGAATTGTAACATCATTTTCATTTTCCAACAATCAGTTGTCTGTATCACTTGACGTGTAAACTTTATTGATAATATATATGAGAATATTGAATTATTAAGAAATTATGCGTATTAACTTTTTATTTTCTAGAATACAAAATCACCGGTAGTTCAATTCAATATTAATTCAGCTTCGTACGTTTGCTACAAGCAGTCGTATTGTTAATTAATATTATTATTCATTTACTTCAAATTACATAAACTGTAAGTTTATATGAAGTAGTCTCTTAAAGTAATATGCAATTTTCCAGTAAGATAAGCATGAGAGTCTTGAACGATTTACTTATACTTGTTATGAATCGATATTGTACTCTTTAAAGCAATAAAACTGCGCTTTTGTACAGTGTTTCTTCGTAACCACTGTCAAAACGAATAATTCTTATTCATATTCCGCTTGTTGACTACCAACTAGCGCATATGTGCTAAGAACCATCTGTTTTCATTCATCTATCCTTCTCTTTTTTCAATTGTTTTGTTAACAATATTAGCGAAACGATTGAAAAAAAAGAGAGGGATATAAGTTAATGTGAATAAGACTCATTAGAACCACTGTTGCCTTTCATACCGACTCCCAAAAAAAAAAAAAAAAAACTAAAACTAAAATTTATCCTGCTATCATTATCTTAAATGAAATGATTGAGATCATAATCGCCAAGCATTGAGGATTTCAATTAACTTGTAATTACGTTGATCATCATTTTACTTTCCATGGTTGTGAGTTCTCGTATAAAAAGAGTCTATAGTGGTGAATGAGACAATCGTACCATGAGTTTTGGTTGCACTTCCTTTTGACATAATATATTGCAAGGTCGAATTAGATGCTTGTGATTTTTACGATAATACTTCCAAGAACGATCGAAGTCATTGTTACTCTTGATAAAAAAA